ATTTATATATATATATATTTATATATATATATATTTATATATATATATATTTATATATATATATATTTATATTTATATATATTTATATTTATATATATATTTATATTTATATATATTTATATATATTTATATATATTTATATATATATATATATTTATATATATATATATTTATATATATATATATATTTATTTATATATATATTTATTTATATATTTATATATATATATATTTATATATATATATATATATATATTTATATATAGCTTAAGTTTTTGGTTTACGAAACACAAACAGTGCTCAATACCATATAGATAGAGCGTAATATAGTTTTTCGTTTTACCTCAAAAAACCACAACAGTCTGTTTCATCCGTATAGGAATCATCAGGTGGTCTATATATTAGCTGATTGATATATTAGATGACATTCCTATACGGATGAAACAGACTGTTGTGGTTTTTTGAGGTAAAACGAAAAACATATAGATGACATCATAACATAGCAAGAATCCGTCAGTCGCTGAGGTATTTGCACGCTATGACGTCCGCCGTGTATCTATAATTGAACAGACAACGGCATGCAAATGTTATCTATTTGTTTTACGGAACGATAGTCATTATAGGAGTTATCCAAAGTTGAGAACTCGCGGGTAGCATTAACTATGACTTCCTGATATAGGATTACTTTACTTAAGACGTGTTTAGAACCCCAAGATGCAAACAGCAATTAAATCGGTAGCAAAAAGCTTTTATTTATCAATTTATTCATTCATTATACAAACTTTCAAAGAATTGAGCATTTAGCTAGAGGTACATTAGAATTATACTCTATTGACTTACTACACTATGAATCCTTTACACTATACGAGAACACTTGATATATAAGATAGTTCAATCCCAAGCTGTACTATAAATTAATTAAGATACATCTGAAGCCACTGATAATCAAATGTTCTTTATTTTTTGGTAACGTTAGGATAATTTTCTACATGTGCAGATAGAATCCAAGGTTTCAGCATAACACGCCAATTCAAGTTGAGTTTCGACACACTTTTGATAAGACGCACAAACGTTCTGGCAACACTTCCTGATCTTAAGGTCGCAATATAAACTGCCCTCTGGTTTCACATTACATACTTTGTTGCAGTCGAACGGACACTAAAAATAGAACAATGAGATAAAACTTCGAATATACGAGCAATATTTTTGCCGCGATCAACGGTATCGCAACAGTTGAAGAGTATATACATTGCATGCATTGGTGGAGTGTATATACTAAAAAAACACCCTGGTTAAAATTTTCCTGCTTAACCTAGAAATAATATACACTTGATGTCTGCATCTGAGGGAAATAGTTAGTTTTGTTTTCCCGAGAATCTCAATGTTTCCCGAGACGAAGTCGAGGGAAACATTGAGATTCGAGGGAAAACAAAACTAACTATTTCCCGAGGGAAAAGACGTTAAGTGTTTTGTTATATATAGCGACGAAACAAATATCAACATTGAACAACATTCATACAACAATATTTGTATTTCATGACAAAAACTCTATAGCGTAAACGAGTTTAAAATTTAAAAAACCTACTTAAATGGTTTCAGCAGCATATCCTGTTGCCTGTTATGTATTTTTCTTCACTTTTACATTCTTTATTTTAACACAAAGCCACGAAAACAGTAGTTTAAATAGTATAAATTTGTGCCGCCATTTTGTTTAGGTATAGCCGGTCCGGGCGGGCAACAATTTTTCACTTATTGCCCGGGCGGGATACATTGCATTTATCTAAAGCCACGTGACTACAAATCAGCCAATCACGTTTGGTGTTCACACTAGCTATATAACAATCCTATTTATTTTTTAACAGTGAAAATGTAGCCTGCGTGGCAGGCCCTCAATTTTATGGGGAGCCTGAATCCTCCCCCGTGCCCGCTGCAAATCAGCCCCCCCCCCATAAAATTGAGGGCCTGCCACGCAGGATGATGAATGAAGCAATATGTTCTCTACCCATTTGTGTCATGCATATTTCACTGATATAAATATAATTGTAAACATGCAAAGTCAAAGTCTGTGTTTAAAAACACATTTTTCAGCATATTATCGTGAAACGACCAGAGAAATACAAAATTTAAAAACCGCATACCTTCTTCATTTCGTTTTATAGTAGAAAAGCGTTGATTAAATCATAACAGATTTATTTATATGTGTTTTTGATCGGTAAAGTAAGTGAACATGAACCTGTCGTTTGTCGGAAGCAACTGAATTTGCCAAAGCGTCAGGCCTAAGTCTAAGCTTTTTATTAGGCCTGCATGCAATGCTTTTCTGCTACCTATATAGTCATGAAAAAGCATGTGCCATTTTACTAAAACTATATGTCTTTTTGTGTGTTTCAGGTGTGTTTCTTGCCAGTTTTCTCGAGTTTTCGTATTCATGTTTATCTTTCAACTTTTCAATTTTTGTCATCCTCGCTTTAATAGCTACACAACCGGACTGATTTCAGGTTAGTTCGCATGCAACACTGGAATTTTAATGAATTTAATTTTACATCTGCTAAAAAATAAACACGTCATTTACCGGCAGCGTCATGCAATCCGGATTAGAAAAACTGTGACTTCGCAGCCGGTAAATAACATATATTTGGATTACTTAATATTCCTGGTTAAGTTTCCTGGTTGTCCTGGTTAAATTAACCAGACTATGTTAGGTGGATATAGGTAACCATAAGGGCTCCTGGTTATTTATCCACCTAACATATATATAGTCTGGTTAATTTTATAAGCAGGAAGTCCTGGTCAAATTAACTAGACTACAGTAAGAAAAAGGATAAAATTACAAAAAAATTTAAGCAGAATATTAACCCAAATAGAGTTATTTCTAGGTTAACCAGAAAATTTTAACCAGAGTGTTTATTTGTGGTAATTATAGAGACAAAAAACAACATGTCGACAAGTGATGAACTCGTAACGCTTTCTTTCCATTAGGCCGGACCGTTCATTATTTATACCCGGGGTTGGTACCGAAGAGATATGGGTTGGGTATAATCAAGGTTTTGACTAGCTCATGAATTTGTTCATTAGCGAATGAACTCACCCTAATTCGTCACATGATTGAGGTTGGATACCGCAGGAAACACGCTAAAAATCATATACCATCACTGTTGTTAGATGAAAAACGGTTTTCATCTAATAACTGAGATCCTAATTACAAATTCAAGTCAAAAACACAACAATATACTATAATAATATATATAAGCCAATGAAATGTTTTCGTTTGAGATGTTGTGTAAACAACTCGTTTCTCGTGTTTCATCAGGGGACCAAACACTCGAAAACAATAAAACACTCGCGCTTCGCGCTCGTGTTTCATACAGTCCCCTGATGAAACACTCAAACTCGTTGTTTACATATAACATCATTAATTGATCAGTAGGAACGTGATTGCTTTGGCACACTCAGTGAGTTTGAGTGTGAGTGAGCTTTTAGAATTTAGGCAACTTGATTTCTATCACCATAATCTTGTGTGTTTAATTATTATGAAGTACATGCAGTAACACGTGGGTTGGGTAAAAAATGTTTTGACCAATGTCGAGGTTGAGTAAATAAAAAAATTACAGTGTTTTTCGCTTCTCTTCGGTACCAACCCCAGGTATAAATAATAGAGAGGTTAAGATACCCCGGTTTCGGTGTACGTGTACGGGTAGTATGATTTTGGTTAGCAATATTTTCGTCGATGTCTGTACCTTTACTCGTAATTAAGGTGCACATTTTTCGCATTATATCATTGTCTATTGCAAGAAAACAGAAAAAGTATGATCGAATTACAGACATCAGTAAAACAAGATGACACTACTCGTACACGTACACCGAAACCGGGGTATCTTAACCTCTCTAATGAACGGTCCCTTACATTGTATACGCCATCGCCAGAAAAATATTGCACGTGTATCTGTATACCTTAAATTAGGGGCTGTTTATATGGAGAATTGGGGGCATCTCGCTTGATAGCCAACTAACAGTTGAAGGAATTTTGTAGATGGAAATTTCGAACGGAAAAATATATACAATTTTTTTCCGATTCCTACCAGAGGGTCTATAGTTGAATTTTTCGCTGGTTACGTCTAAAATCCTACAACTGTTTATTTGGAGGCCCGTATGGTACCCGGGCTACATATTTAGCTAGCTTTTCCAAGACGAATTGAACCACGTGTTTAGCTACATGGCTCTTTAGATGGGTTGGCTCGCCAAAACAATTTAGCATGACATCGGTACAGGGTAGCTGAGTTATACACATTGAAGCAATTTAAATTTTCCAACCTGAAATATACTTGACCAGTTTCAAAGTTGCAACTCACAGAAATGATCACAGAGATCTTTTAAGATTAACATTATAATAGCCCAAACAAAGCATTAATACATTCAGCCCGGGTACAGGCGAGACAGCCAGGGTCACTTCGTTCATATGGAAAACTCTGTCCCGGCTTTAGCGCGATCTCGAGTCAGTCGACGTGGTATCTCGCTTAGGCGGACCAGCTCGGTTTCCATATAAAAGCTGCAAGACGAAATTTAATAGGTAATAATAACAAAGAGTCAAAGACGGGATCTCGCCTAACCTTATAGCTGGCGGTTTTAAGAGGTTGGGCTAGATCTCGCCAAAACCGGCGCATCCGTGTAAACCAAGGAATAAAAATATCTTGCCTAATTTACCGTATTTTAAAAATTGCACTGCAATGACTTACTTGACCTGCAATGACTTACTTGTAGTGGTACCGGAGTTGTAAGCTGAGCTGTAGCTATGACCATCATATACATGACAGCGAAAGTCAAGAAAAGTATTTTCGTGGTAGTGGATGTCATGGTCATAGGAATCTATAGGGTAAACAAGTTAAAATATATAAATAATCTATAACGGCCTGTACAAATGAGCCCGCGCGGTTTTCCGGGAAGCTCACCTGAGTGCGATATATTATTTCTCTGTTCATGTGACTGTTTTATCCCACGTTCCCACCTGATATTGACCGCCTCGGTGGGACGCTATTTTTAACGTCATGGGGTCTTCGAAATATTTCAGTTGTAATGAAACAAGGTCTAGCTGTTATAATACTATTTTATAAAATAAAAAAAGCCTTCATATTGGGAAAATTTTATCCCACTTGATCGTTCCATAGTTCGACCCAAAAATTAACTACTTTTAACAAAACAATTAAATGCCATGTACAAACCCCGCGCTTCCCCCCTCTGTGCCAAGACGGGAGATTCGCCCCCCTCCCCTCCCCCTTTTAATAATAACCAGATAAATTATATTTGTTTCACCACCATATAATTCACCGCCAATTTCTGTAGTACATATTCTTTAGGGCAAGGAATGATTATTTGTATGCTTTTAAACGTGCAAGCTCATCACCACAAAAGCCCTATATATATACGAGCTACTACATGCAGTGGTAGACCAGATCAAATGCGGGCCTTAGCTTATACAAAAATGCTCTTAGACTTAGTAATCAGAAGGAAATATTACATTATGGAATATTTATTACATTATAAAAATATTACATTATGGAAATCTTTTCAAATAAGCTTACTTCTCTTCGTTCAAAGTCCGTCGAACTTTTGGTCTTCAAATCTGATCTTCAAATTTTACTTCTTGGCTTGAGTCTTCAGCTGACGAGCTTGTTATGCTTAACACGGCCTTGCAACCCTCCTCTTATGCAATTCTGCTTGGCAATATTTTCCCTTTTCTACGTCATACAGACGTGTTACGGAACTATACAATGATATAGTGTACAAGGGACATTCCTTGCTACAAAAGACAGATAAAGTAAATACCATTTCGAACTTGCGCAAAATGTCAATTACCTTTCCATTAGGCATGATACTTATAAAACTGTCAAAGTTCGATAAGGAACATAAGAAGTGCTAAGGGCTTTCCTTGCATGAGACGGAGGAGATACATTATAATGTAATATTATAAAGTAGTAGCATACAATCATTTTCAAAAGTTGTTGGGACACTTGTGGTTTTACATAGGGCTGCACCGCGCGGAACTCGGTTCTATAACAAACATACTTGCAGGTTCGGTGAGTCCGGTATTGGACGCACCTCGGGTGGCTGGAAGTTTCCCGAACCCAGGCTGGAAGTTTCCCGAACCCATCGAGCGAAATGAGATGGGTTCGGGAAACTTCCAGCCACCCGAGGTGCGTCCAATACCGGACTCACCGAACCTGCAAGTATCTTTGGTTTTTATCACATGCCATTTCGGTAAAATACTAAAAAGTACTGACAGAGTGACAGAAGAATTTACCCATTTTAGTATATAATTTCTTGTTTGGATAACGAACATTTTAACCGCCAACATACTACGCAAGCAAACAAACTTAGGCTTAAATTGAAGCTAAAAAAATTCTATACATTATTCACTTATTCTTGAAAAGAGAAAATGCACACATTCTGCGAAAACATTGTTAAGATTTATATAAACCTGCCCGTGCCAAACAAATTTCGGCGGCCATCTTTCTTCTCTTCAACTTTGAATACAGAATATTCCATTTTCAACAAGCAAAATAAAAAATAATAATTATAAAACAATTAAAAACAGTTAATTTACTTTTTATTTAAATCTTCGTCTGAAATTTGTTCAAATCCCCTCATAATGGCCGCCGCCGAAACATCGATCTCGAACCCCCTCCTAAACGTACGTCGGCAGGTGAGTTCGAGATTGAACGCACCTCCTCGTAATAAGATAACGGCCGGAACCCCAATTTTTCAGAGTTCCGGTTCCGGCCGGAACTAATAAAAAAGCATGGCCGGAACCGGAACTCGGTCGTTTTCAGAGAGATAAAATATCAAATGTTTTTGTGTCTAACAAAAGTTCACGGTAGGAAGAAATTTGGACCACACAAGGAAAATGTACACTATTAATTAACACTTCATTATGACATCTAACGTGTGTCAATCTTTTTATTCTAACATTTGCAAGCTCTCTCCTAGACTTGCTCCAAGTCTCTCTTTGTGGAGACCCACTATATTGTACGTTACATGACGTACCGCTGAGGGGGAGAGGAGGAAAGAGAAGAGAGACTTGTAACATCTGGCAGCAGACATTCTTCCGGCTGGTCAATTTCGACCAGCCGGAAGTAGATGGCCGCATTGACTTATCATATGTTTAGGGGGGGAAGGCGACATCTGGACTTATTTGTTTAACATAAGTAATTTTGTATTCACGAGATTTCTTGTAGATTTCACATCACTTTTGACTGCGTGCATTTGGAATTTTGGGCATTATTTTTGCAATTTATTGTAAACAACGATTATAAGAAGAACGGATAAATTACAAATCAGCCGTAATCGTCATAAACCTCGATGACCACCAGGTTTTTGTGTTTGACAATTTGTATTTCATTAGATATTTATATGCAAGGTCAGTATAAACGGGTTATCATATAAAATG